CTCTCTCTCTCTCTTTCTCTCTCTCTCTCTCTCTCTCTCTCTCTCCATCTCTCTCTCTCTTTGTCTCTCTCTCTCTGTCTCTCTCTCTCTTTTTCTCTCTTCCTCTCCATTCTTGATCATTCAGATTACTGCCATTTGTTCTGTAGTCCTTGTATGCTATTAGTAAAGATCAAAGGACTTTTTCTGCTGTCCTGGCCAGGCTCAGTCTTAGGTAGGTCCTCTGTGGAGCTCAACATCCCTGCCCTTCCTTGCAGTGGCAGCCAACTTGGCTTTGTCTCCGTGGTTAATATAGTGCAGTTTTGTGCTCACTCCCACTGGTAGACGACTAACAGCATTTGATATAAGACCTTGTCTTCCGCCATTCTCCAGGGGTGAAATAGCTTTCTTTTTACTTCAAACCTCCCTGTAGTAATGTGCCTTGCAGAAAGACAGAGGCTTCCCTGCCCGGACTGACCGGTGCTGTAACATTTTTGATCAGTATGAGTGAGGTGCCCAAACCAGGGGAGTGGGGCTCCATGCCTTTTTCACAGCAGTGGCTGGTCCCCTTCTCTGTGCCTGTAAGATCATGGATGATTCTCTCTGCTCTCATAGCCAGTTCCAATCTTTCTTGTGAGCGTGCAGGGAAAGTCCACTGCAAATAACATGTGAGTATAAACTCCTCCTGGATCTGGGACACACCACTAGGAGTTCTATTCTATCTAACATGCTAGCTCGAGTCATTAAGATGAAATTAATTTCTACTTTCTCACCCATGTGATAGCTTTGCCTTTCTTCCGGGTTCTGCCATGGAGTCTGTGCATCCTAGCACCCTGCCCTGGGGGGCCAGCCTCATTTTGGATTTCAGGGTACTTGGTCATCCTGCCACTTTAGGTTTCCTGATGGGTTCCAGAAAGTTTTCATTTTGTAGTTGGTTTTGTTTTTGTTTGTGTGTTTTTTTCACTGTTAGAAAGCAATACTTTTTCCAGTTTTCAATATTACAGACAGAAGTGGAAGTATCTCAGAATAACTTGCTGTAAAAAAAGAAAAGAGCTGTGTGTGTGTGTGTGTGTGTGTGTGTGTGTTCAAGTGGAGAGAAAAAAAAAAAGACAAGAGAAAAAAATTCCCATATATAAAGAGTGGTTATCACTATGTGGTAGTTTGGGATCTTGTCAATTTTTCTTCTTTGTTCCATTCTCTAGCTCACAAATTCTGTACAGAGATGAAATTTTAATAACTTAAAAAAGAAAAGTGCATATGTACATATATTTGTGTGTATTCTACTTTTTTAAGTTAAGTAAAAATTATAGAACATTATTTAACTATAGAAATGCCATTTATTTGCTGTTTTAAAAAGAACTTTCTATATATCCTCAAAATTCATAATTGTATATTTTTTTCAATTTTTATAATTCTTTCAGTATTTTTCAGCAAATGTGAAAGTGAAAATTCTTGTAGCAAAAAAATGAAAACTTGACTTGAGAATAATTATCCTTAAAACTTCATAAAAATCTCAATACAGCAGTTTTCCTTGTTTGGAAAGCCTTGTGTTTAAGAGAATAGTTTTATATATACTGTGTCTCACATCCCCTATTATCTCCTTCCCCCATGACAGCTATACTTGTCAAAGTAATCTCTGTCACCACACATTGTAAGGTAAATGTAGTCTAGAAAATAAGATAAATGGTAACAAAATAGTAAAAGGCAGAAACTCTTCCCAATTTAAATGTATATTTTAAATTGTCAATGTTAAATATATCAAAGGGAATTTTCAGGAAAACATTTATCGATAATATATTCAAGTAAGAAAAAGACTTCGGAACAATTTACTCACATTATCCCTTTACCATATTACTGTTTCTCTAAAAGAGGATAAAGTCACTATGCAATGTCTTTGTAATAATTTATATTCAGTAACATATCTAAAACTTCCAAAGATAATCTCATTCTAAGAGAACATTTCTATAAAATCAATCTCATTTTCAGAGAAAACAAATCAATAGTACAAACCCCATGTTTCATATTTTACTTAGTAAGAATGGCTATCAAACATGTCACTCAAGTTATTTTCCAATTATGCTTATTTTCAGAGTGCCTGAAAATATTATACATTCTATTTAATCATACTATGTATTCTATTTAATCATTTTTTAACTTATTAAACTGGGTGCAGGAAATATTGTGGTGAACAAAACATGAAATATTTCTATTCTTCAAGAGACCTTTACGAACATCCCAATTTGTCTAAGAATTGGTTACTATGTTGTTCTTATATATCTCCATATAGCACTTATCACAAATTATTCAGTTCCTCAATTAGATTAGTGCTTCTTGAGAAGAGGGACCAAAATTTCATCTTCTTAATGTCCTTCCTACTGTGCACCATCTGACAAATAATAGATTACTTAGAATGTGTAGTGAATAAACCAATCCTATATAATAAAAGGCTAATATGCAAATCAACCAAACAGCAGAATGACCAGTCTCTATGTCATGCATTGACCACCAGGGGGCAAATGCTCAATGCAGGAGCTGCCCCCTGGTGGTCAATGCGCTCCCACAGGGGAAGTGCTGCTCAGCTGGAAGCTGGGCTCATGGTTGCTGAGCATAGCAGCGGTGGCAGATGTCTCTCCCATCTCTGCAGCAGTGCTAGGGATGTCAAACTGGCTGTTTAGGCCCCAGGTAGCGGGCGAAAGCAGTCAGTTGCACATCCCCTGAGGGCTCCTGGACTGCAAGAGGGTGAAGGCCAGGCTCGTGGTACCCCACCACCCCAGTGCATGAATTTCATGCACCAGGACTCTAATAAGTAAATAAGCAAAGGAACCTACAGTCTAACACAGACACACACACACACACACACACACACACACACACAAACACACACACACACAGAAACACATAGCTACAAGTAAAGCAATACAATGTAAGATGAATATTCATAGGGTACAGAAGTAGCACAAAGAAGTCATTAGATCAGCTCCATTAGGAATAAAAGTGGTCCGAAAGTTTCATTCAGTACATAGTGTTTAAATTGCATCTTGACAGATAGTTAGAAGCTAGTCAAGAGCACTAATAGGGAACAATGATTTGAAATAGAAAAAGCATCATGAGCAAAGTCAGAGAGTTATAAAATAGTATGTTATGATCAGAAAACAGCAGATAGGTCAGTATGACTGAAGCATGGGGTGACAGGGAAATTACCTTTGAATATAAATCTGGAAATGGTATAAGGTGAACTAGGTAAATGAGTGTGGGGGGAGACAGACAGATAAATATGTCAGACTAGAGTGAACTTTATCCTATAGGCCATGAGGAATCCCTGAAAAGGTGAGAGGAAGAAAAGTTAAATGAGATTTGGTTTTAGAAAAATGACTCTAGGAGACATACAGAATACAATCAGGAAAAAGAAAAGATAGATGGTTAAGAAAGCAAAATTAGAGATAGAAGAACAATTAGGAGACTATTTAAATGGTCCAGGTCAAATAGGACTACCATGTGAATTAAAGCAGCCACACTGTAAACTTAAAAGGTAAAAAATGACCTGGCAAAAAAATAACCCATATAATTTATCACCAATTAGATTTAAAGAAACTCATTTACAATTTGTTAAATATAAATAATTGGCTATCTCAGAGAAATATGACAAGTACCTGAGTAATACATGTAAAATACTAATTCAAAGAATACAAAAAAGAAAGAATTCTAAACAGTTACTGTTTTATTGATGCTGATTCAATCAGATTTTAATCTGGCTTGAACACTTACTCCCTGTGTGATCTGGATAAAGTTACTTAGCCCTCCTCTGTAAAACTGAAATATGCTTCCTAGTACCCCATGGATGAGTACTATTTTGAGTTTTACAGATGTAATAACATATTTGTGAATTATTTACAGGAATTTATACCAATGCTTGAAATTTTGTTTTTAAGAATAAGAGTTATTAGAAACAGACTCATAAATACAGGGAACATTTTTACAGTTGCCACATGGGAGATGGGGTTAGGGGAGATAAAAATGGTGAAGGAATTAAGTAGTACAAATTGGTAGTTACAGAATAGTTATGGGGATATAAAGTACATCATAGGGAATATAGTCAATAATATTGTAATAAATAAGTATATTGTCAGATGGGCCATAGATTGATCAGGGTGATCACTTCATAAATCATATCAATATCTAATTACTGAGCTGTACACCTGAAACTAATATAATATTGTATGTAAACTGTAATTAAAAAATAAAAATTATTTTTAAAAAGGAAAGGAGTTATTATTTGACAATAGGAGTTAAAAATAATTCTCAGGTTCCTGATTTGAATGAATGGTGCTATCATTCCTGAGAAAAGGTTTCCTTAGAAAGCCAATTATCATGACTATTCTCACTCAAATTCCTTAAGATGAACTAAGTGTCCTTCCAGGTGTTTTAAAAGTACATTACACTTATTACAGCACTCACCCTGGTATATTTTACATGTCTATTTTCATGTCTGTTATCCTCAGGAGATACTGAAAATATCTAAGGACAAAAAAACTACATCTTTTATTTCTGCATTCCCAAAAAGCAGGATAGATCTGATATATAAATAGTCTTAAAAAATGTTAGTTAAATAATTAAACATAAATTAAAGGAATTATAGATACCTATAAAAAGTCCAGAGAATATTAGAAAAAAAGGGGGGGGGTATTAACTGCTACACTACTATTGGCATTAAAATTTCATCAAATGAAAAGTCAAAACTAATACATTTTACTACTCTTTTCTGAATTCCCACTAAGACAGTGTTAAAGTACAAATCTGTAAATAGTAGAGAATAACTAAGTAATATAAGCAAAAACAAGTTAATCAAAAGTTTCCAATCTTCCCTTGTACCATGAAAATATAAATATAGGAGTTCTATGCTATAAAGGACTAATACTAAGACTTTCTAAATCAAAGCTGAAAGCAATATCAGAAGTGTTTCAGAATACTTATGAATATAGTCTCAATTTCAGTATATCTTACATCTTCACTGTATCATACTCTACCTTAGATGAAGATCTTCTGAAAACTTCAGACAGGCGTAAATAAATTCTTTAATTTGGCTGTAAACTTTTGGCACAAATTCAGAGAAAGGAAACTTTTTTGGAAATGGTTGCTGTAAATGTAAGAATTCATGAATGTGAGTCACAAATGAATATACATTGAAGATACTTGTAAATTAGTTAAAATGCAAAAGGAATTTTCTACTACATTGTGAGCTATCTGCCTAACCACCTCAATTTAAGAAAGTATTTTTGTAAGTTTTCTAATAGTAAAAAAAAAAATAACAATAAGATATAAATAAAAATAATTTAAATGTCCTTCAAAACATGTAGGGATATATAAACTGTGATAACTAATCAGCAGTAAAAAGGAATGAACTATATATAATATAACATGCAACATCTTGGGTGAATCTCAAAAGCATTATACAGAGTGGAAAAAAACAGTCTCAAAAGATTACATATTGTATGGCTCCAATTATGTTGGCATTCTAGAAAAAACAATATGGACATCAACCATATTGGTGGTTGCCAAAGGCTGGGGTGAGAGGAGGGACTGGTTGAAAAGCATGAGGGATTCGGGATTGATGGAACCGGTCTGTGTCATCATTGTGGTAGTACATACATGACTTAATGCATTGTCAAATCAATAGAATTATATAGCACACAAGGTAAATTTCACTGAATGTTTTGGGGAAAAAATGTCCTAAGGGTATAATAAAACCAAGTACTTCAAAAATGTAAACCAAATATTTCAATCCCCCAAATACTTCAGAAGATCGCACCAAAGCCATCTACTGACTCCCAAAACAGAAACTTCTGCTCTTTTATATATATATATATATATATATATATATATATATATATATATATATATATATATATTTTTTTTATTCTATTGATTTTCCACAGAGAGGAAGGAAGAGGGATAGAGAACTAGAAATGTCGATGAGTGAGAAACATCAACCAGCTGCCTCCTGCACACCCCCTGCCAGGGATGTGCCCACAACCAATGTACATGCCCCTAACTGGAATCGAACCTGGGACCTTTCAGTCCGCACACCAACGCTCTATACACTGAGCCAAACCGGTTTTGGCAAACTTCTGCTCTTCTAAGCCTAAGGTATCCCTTGAAGGTGTTCTCGTTCTAACCCACTGAGTTAGAGGTAATGCCTTTAATAAGACTGATATAATGAAATCTTGTAAAGGATGCCACTCTAACAGGGAAGTTTATTTTAAAGCATTACTTACCTTTTCCAGCTCTATATCTTGGAATGGGAATTGTCCGACCACCTTTTTATACATCTCTTCACTTGTTACTGGTATAGGACTATAGTTGTCAGAATCAAGTATGTTTCTATAAAGAAAATAAAGGGTGGATGGATGGAAGGAAGGAAAGAGGAAGGGTTAGTCACTGTAGGGATCACAATAACTTTCAGGTAAATTCTAATGGTTGTATGTATATATACCACAACCCAAAATAAACATTTCCCAGTCCCTATTCTATTCCTTCTACAACATAACTATTTGGTTTCGGGTAAGGACATCCTTCAAAGGAAGAAAAAAAAAAAAAAAAAAGAAAACCATATTCTTAAACAAATAGAACACAAATAGAAGAAATATGAACTCACAGTATTTAAGATTTACAGATGATACAGAAAGTTCAAGGCAACATATTGAAGCCTTAAGTCAAGTAAATTAACAATAAAAGAATGTGCACTCTGGAAAAAAGCAAAGGGGTTTCATTTGTTTTTAAATAAGATATATTTGATTACTAATGTATTTAATCCTACCTTAGATCTTCTATTCAAACTATTTCCTAATAAATGGTGTTATAACAACTATTTAAATAATATGCTTCAAATATTGGATTGTAATAGGCATCTTCTCTAAGTGTGAAGAAGGAAAAAGATGAGGGATCTCATGAGTAAGTCTTCAAGAAAGGTTCCAAAGCAGCTAGTTCAAAAGGGCTCAAAAGCCACTACCTTATGAATAAGCAATAGACAAGACACGTTCTCCAAAGAGAAAACAAAAAATTGAATAAGAAGATAAAAGATGATATAGATGGTATGAACCAAAATATTTGACATTTATTCAAAGACACAAATAAAGCCACAATGAGATTAGGGGCTCCCCACATATTAGACCTGTCACTGATTTTTTGATAACCTGGGAACTTTATTTGGGACATCATTGCAATTTACTTTTATTAACAATCATAACTTGGAGCATAGACAGAAAATCTAGGTCTACTTGTTACCCATCCTATATAATAAAAGCCTAATATGCTAAGTGACCGGACATCCAGTCTTCTGTTCAACCAATCAAAGTATAGTATGCTTATAATATGCTAAGGGCAGTCAACCACTCACTATGACATACACTGACCACCAGGGGGCAGACATTCTGACTGGTAGGTTAGCTTGCTGCTGGGGTCCAGCTGATTAATTGGGACTGACCGAGACAGACCAGACACACCCTGGAGCCCTTCTGCAGTCCCTCCTCGGCTGGTCCCCCTCCCTCATCCCTCCCCAGCCCCAATCATGCACCAATGAGATCCCTTGGCCTGGCCTGTGCCCACTTGCAATCTGAGACCCCTCAGGGGATATTGGAGAGCCAGTTTCAACCCGATCCCTTAGGCAGGCAGAGGGACCCCACTGGTGGACAAATTCATGACAAGGTCTCTAGTTATATCTGAAAAACCTTATCCATAAACACATTGTACACACATATATATGCACTCACACACACTATATGACTATAGATCATTTCTCACCTGAAAATACCTGCCCACTTCTTTAGCAAAGTTTCACTATATTGATCTCTAACTTCTAATAGCATGTCAAAAAGCTGATTTACAGGAAAACCATAAACCTGAAACAAAATAAGAAAATCACTTATTTTATAACGTGATTTTTTTTTTTTTAGTAACATGATGGAGATTATGGAATTTAAAAGTATCTTTGTTCCCTTAGCCAACAATTTACATGTAACCATGATAAAGTCTTTCATTCTCACGTAATATTTAGTATTTATCTCTCACAAATTAAAAGGTACATACCAAAATATTTGTCAGAAAAAATAAAAAGATGAATATTAAAATCAATGTATACAGATTATAGCATCAGCTAAACTCCCCTACAACTCTGCCTGTAACAAGAAATAGAGAAACTGAAAATGCTACAAATCTCACCCACTTCTAATGCTATTTTATTAATATGATATGTAGTTAATATCAAAAATTATTATTCAAGATGGTAGTTAAAAAACTCTAAAGTCACTCAGGTACTATATCTGAATTAAGAAAATTTTGGAAAACTAAGGTAGTAGCTGGTTCAATTAATTGATTTGCTCCAAAGGGAAAAAGAGAGGAATGGGAACTATAATATTTATGAAAACATAAATGGTCAAGGTGATGGGCCAGAAAATGCTATAGAAGGTAAAAACATCTAATTCTAGGTGAAGAAGAAACACAACAAAAAACTGAAAGGTACTTATACAAATTTAGGCAGCCAGTGAAAAGACTTACAGCTGATGGAAATACTAATCAAGACAAACTGAAGTCACAGACCTGAAGTGTATCAGCAAAAAGCACAATGAGGTTCTTCAAATCTAATACGAGGTTTGGATCAGAGCAGTAAGACTAAAGGAAATAAAAGACAATTAGGAAAACATCGTAATCATTAAAAATAAAACTAAACTGTGATTTAATTGTTTACTGCTTCACCTGGTGAAGGATGGCAAGGCAGGGTCCAAAACCAGATTTATGGTAACACGAGATTTGAGAGCTAAGCAGGGTACAAAGAGGTATAAGTCACTATTTTAAAAATTCAGCCTGGTTGGTGTTGCTCAATGCCTGAGCGCTGAGCCAGGAACCAAGAGGTCATGGTTTGATTCCCAGTCAAAGCACACGCCCTAGTTGCTGGCTCTCTCCCCAGTAGGGGGCATGCAGTAAGCAGCTAATTGATGTTGATGTTTCTCATCAATGTTTCTATCTTTCTCTCCCTCTCTTTTTCTCTTTCTCTAAAAATCAATAAAAACATATTTACACTAAATAAAAGTTTAGTGATTTGGGTATTCAAATTTTGGGAATTCTAGTTTGGTTACTTTCTCTGTACTTGATATCTTGGTTCCTGAAAGATGTGTGCTAAATTCTCCCACAATGGGGCAAGTTCATCAATTTTAATTCTTATTACTAACAATTTTTGTTTTTATACCTATTTATGCTTGCTTGTCTACTGCAAATAAGCTACTGTCTTTTTGGTGGGTTAAAACTGATATTAATGCAAAACATGCCTCTCCTCCACCACTTAATAGTCTTCAACTTCATTTTTATTTGCCTTGTAGAATACTGCTATTTCTGCGCTTTATTTTCAAACTTTGTAGGTAATCTTAATTAGGTATGAATATCTCTTATTAACCAAACTATAAAACTTTCTAACCTTGACATTTCCCATTATTACTGATATATTTGGACCTATTCCAGACATTTTAACCTATTTATAATTACTTCTTTTGTTTGTTTCCTTTCGTGGTTTTCATTGGATCAATTTTTTTTATATTATCTTACTAGCAGTCCAGTGCACGAATTCATGCACGGGTGGGGTCCAGCTGACGGGACCTGATCAGGGCTGGGAGGTTGTGGGGAGGGGATGAGGGAGGTTGGCCAGCTGCAATGTACATCATAGCAACTGATCATTCTGGTCGTTCCAGTCACTTGGCTTTTATATATATAGATAGTGGTTATTAATAAGTTATATACTTTCTGCCCACTAGTTTAATTGAAATAATCTTGAACTTTTTAAACATTAATCCTCTCCTTTTGTATGGATTCTTAACAGCATTAAACTTTGCAAACAAATAATCGGTTATTTAGATTTTTCCAAGAGTTTTACTCTCTTTTTAACATATTCTATTTAATCCTATCTCATCTTATATTTTGAATTTCTTTTTCATTTTACATTCCTTACTGTAGAACACCAATAAGATAAGGTAGGTTCCATGTATACTTTGAATCCTGATATGTTTGAAAATGCCTATCTATTTCCCTCAAATTAAAATATAAAATTTCAGATGTAGCTGAAACCGGTTTGGCTCAGCGATAGAGTGTCAGTCTGCGGACTGAAAGGTCCCGGGTTCGATTCCGGCCAAGGGCATGTACATTGGTTGCGTCACATCCCCGGTAGGGGGTGTGCAAGAGGCAGCTGATAGATGATTCTCTCTCATCGGTGTTTCTAGCTCTCTATCTCTCTCCCTTCCTCTCTGTAAGAAAATCAATAAAATATATATATATATATTTTAATTTTCAGATGTAAAAAAAAAAAAAGCCTGCTGTCATTTACCCTGCTTGATAGAAGATGCATTCTTTCAACATTAATAATATAGTATTAAAGTCCCCTCCATTGTGACTGTGCTTTTTAAAAAATCTCTAATAGATACAAACAAACTCTACTTCAATTATCTCTGTTTTTTAACGTTCATATTTTCCATGTCCATCTTGGGTAGGCCCAACAGGATGTCCAAATTCTAAGTTCAAATTGTCTGGACTAACAAGTGAGTACAGGCTCTTTATAAGTGAATGGGGCACATGAATCACTGTGTTCAAAAAGCAGTACCAGAGAACTTCCATCATGCTATTTTCTCTTTATTTAGATGGTAAGGTTAGCCAAAGGAATTGTATAAGCAGCTGGCTGACCAAAGGTTTTAGAAAGCAAATCTCTAAATAATTTCCCTAAGGATTTATCCTGGGCCCATTCCTGCTCATTTTATTGATTTGACCCTGAATTTTAAGTGTTCCTATATTCTACTTAGAAGAATGGGTTCAGTCATTATTCTGATGCCATCTATTTTCTACGGTCAAAGAAATTTTTTGAAATTTCTAGCATATAAATGATACTTTGCAGAGTTTCTCCTTTTGGTTTGTCCTCCCAATCCCCACCATTTATTTCCATGAGAACTTGGTTGAAGATCTGGAAGACACACATGCTTAGTAAACCCTTTGATTTAAAAAAAAAAAAAAAAAAAAAAGAGAGAAGAAAAAGAAAAAAAAGAAAAAAAACTAAAAAATGTGTATGACGGAATAGATTTGGATGTGGGTGTGGGTGTGTATAAAATGACATTCACAGTACACAATCTTGACTACTAAGAAGAAAAAATGAGCAATATTTTATACCTATAAAAATAAGCATTTTGAACTATAAAGAATTATACTATTGCATAATGTTGAATCTTAAAAATACCTTTTGAGTATTATCAGATTATCTGTTTATCATACATACTAACATTCATATTAGCAATTATATTAGCATATCTAATATTAAGTCATTCCTGATATGAACTTCTTTATGTAAGCATATTATTCTTTTAATATATTACTAAATTTGAATTCTAAGTGAGATGATTGTATAAGACCTTTATTATTTTGAAATCAGCATGAGACTATTACACACATTAGTACCTGAAATATATTTTTGAAACATTTTCAAATTATACAATGACTAAAAATTCAAATGAAAAAGCAAAAGAGCAGTTTTAAACAGTGACACAGAAAGTTATATATATATATATATATATATATATATATATATATATATATATATTATTTCTGATAAACAAAAAAACAGATATAGAGTTTGTTTTGAGATTTGTTTTAATATTTGAGTCATTTTTATTTTGCTTGGCTTGCTGAATAATATAAACTATAAATAGTATCATGAAATAGAATTAGCATGTGTGGCATCAACTACTTTGTCTCATAAAGGATAAAATGGTTCAGTGAGTAAATGAGGGTAATGCTAACTTATTTTTATTTTTTTTTTTACTGATTTTTATTGTATTTTACTGATTTTTTTTTTTTAAACAAAGAGGAAGGAAGAGGGATAGAGACTTAGGAACATACATGAGAGAGAAACACCGATTCAGCTGCCTCCTGCACACTCCCTATTGGGGATGTGCCAATAACCAATGTACATGCCCTTGACCAGAATTGAACCTGGAACCCTAGGCTGACATTCTATGCACTAAGCCAAACCAGTTAGGGCCTAACTTTTTTTTTAATAGCTCTGGTCAATTCCTGGTTGGGGAGCATGGAGGAGGCAATAAATCAATGGGTCAATGTTTCTCTCTCTGTCTCTCTCTCTTAAAAAAAAAAAAAAAATCAATAAACATAATCCGCAGGTGAGGATAAAAATATGAAAAAAACCATAAAGCACCAAAAATAGGACTTAGATGGAAAGCATATAAAATATTTTACCAAACAACATGAAAGCAGGTAAAAGAAAAATATATATATTCTTAATGAAAAATATCAGAATGTGAAATATAACAATTATTTCCAATTAAATTTATAAGAAGACTATAGTTCAAGTTGGGGGTTAGAGGGGGGGGGAAGAAGTGGGAGAAATGTGACAAAGTAATTCTCAAATTAATCTTGAAAAATAATAAGATAGCATATTTTTAAAATAGAATTTTTAGAGAATACACATGTCCTATAAAAATTAAACCATACTATCTATCAGATGTCAAATAATCAATACAATGTATTGATTCAAGACAGTCTGAGAGAAGGAAAGGGAAAGGGAGAATCATAGGGTCTAAAAACAGACTTTAGTATACATATTATTATATAATAAAGGTGGGCTTCAAAATATGTTGGGAAAGAGTAGATGTTATGGACTGAATGTTGTGTCCCCCAGTCTGTCTATTTTTACAGATGGGGCCTTAGATAATTACGATCAAATGAAATAAGGTGAGGCCCTAATCTAATGGGATTGGTGTCCTTACAAAAGGATAAGGAAATATTAGCTATATCAGTATCTGAGGAAAGACCAGGTGAGGACACAATAAAAATGCTGCCATTTGCAAACCAGGAAGAAAGTTCTTACCAGAAACCACCATGCTGGCACCCTGACCTCAGATTTCAAATGATACACATATAATTATTTTAAAACAGTGAAACACTAAATAGCATATAGATAATAAGCTCGAAGTAAGCACCTCTCTTGGGCTTCTTACATACCGAGTGGGTACGGAGTGCGGCAATGGTTTTGGAAAGCGCCATTTCCCATAGTTCGTCAATGTAGGCTCTATTTACTAAGCCCTGGGTCGTATGTAAAATATGATCTTCAACCACAAAAAAGCTAATATTGGGGAAAAGAGAAAGCACAGTTGTCAGAAATTACAGTTTGCATACTATTTCCAGGGTTTGACAAATATTAAGAACTGTCACTAAATTCTAAGTTAAGAGTCTTTTTATCTAAAAGAAAGCTCTCTGGTAAATGAAGTCAGATTTCTTAGACTAGTATTATGCTCCTGATCTTGATATCCTCTTAACACTTTTATAAAACTTGGGGTTACATTTTTGTTAAATGTTAACTATATTATCTAGCTATTTAAAAGGGAAGAAAATGTTTATAGGTAAAAGAGGATAATTTTACCATGTTAAAAACACCAGCCTGATAAGTACATTTTAAAAAGCCCATATTTTAAAAAAGACAATAAAATGTAAAATACATATATTTTAAGAACCCAACAAAAAATATCAAAATAATTACCCTTGTCCTTAAGTAGACTTTCTCAACAAAGTATTAAAAAGGCATCTTACAGCAATTTTAAAAATATATACATATTTATAACATTCTTTTATATTTTATGCATTTAAAATTTTTTTCAACTATCTTGCCTAATTATTCATACTAATTAAAATAATAATCCTTTAAATACAGAATAGTTATGAAATATTTTAATAAAAATATCAATTATAATGAAACGATCTTAATCTTTAAAAAATTTCATGGAACAACTCAATTTTTTTCCTTTTCTTTTAACTGCAAAGTCATATTCTGCAATTAGAATAAAATGCCTAAATTTGGGATGTTCATCTGGGGACTACAATTCCATACTAATACAGATACTCTAGAAGAGGGTATAACCCATTGAGTGTTTTCATAATTATTGTTTTTATTTATTACAGCCATGCTCACTCATTTGAGTAGTGCCTATAGTTGCTCTTGCATTGCAATAGAACTAAACATTTGTAACAAAAAACTTACAGCATGGTAAGCATAAAATATTTTACTATCTGGCCACTTTAGAAAACGTTTGCCAACTTTTGCTGATTATTTGGTTCCCTCTTACCAAGCATGGAGAAACAAAACATCAAATATAATAATGTTTTTCTCCCTTTATCCATAAAAGTCCTTTGCAACAATATAAACTTAAAACCAGTAGGACATTTCTTTAAAATAATCATAAAGTCAAGACTAAATAAATCTTGTCTTACGAATTTAAAAAAATAATGAAAACTTGATTTATTTTTCCAAGTCTTACAAATAATACACATTCATCCACACAAGCACACATATGCACACAAAGATGCATATACCTACCCTACAATTTGATTAAAATACTTCCTGTAGCCATCTAAAGTTTCATGCTGCAATGAAGTAAAAAAGAAAAAGTTATTTATGCTTTGATACATTAAGACAGAGTCAATATCAGCTTTTTAATTTTTAAGACTCAGTTCCCAAGACTATAGGGTAATATAATAACAGTACCTACCTTAGGGGGTTATAGTAAAAACAAAATGAGACGTAGGACAATGCCTGACACATGATAATCAACAGATGTTAGAGTTGCTATTTTCTTACATTCATCAAAAGTGGTCTCAAACTAACAATGTTTAAAAAATTACTAAGCACATATGCAAAGTAATTAAAAGATACCAGAAAAGTAAAAAGGTGAGGAGAATAAAGGTGGGGATCCTACCATGTTAGATGGAGGCTGGAGCACCAAACGGGCCTGTTTTCGCCTCTGTTTTCGGTAATAGTTCTCAAATGTTTCCCGGGCACCCTATAAATAAATGGAAGGAAATAAATTGACACAATTGGACCAATTATTCTACTATTTTATGAGAAAAGAAAAACTCTCAGGTCTGGAACTGAGGCATCCCCCCATTTCTCAAAATATGCTGTTTTAACAATTATAGTAATCATAGAAAAAATAAAAATAACTATTACCATTTGTTGAACCTTACTTACAAATCCTGTAGGGATGGATACAAAAGATTTTTAAGAGGAAACTACCAGAGATCACCATCAAAAACAATAAAGTTGGTTTCTGAATCAACTATCACAGATGCATAAGAATAAAGACAAACCAACATTCTCATAGGTTACAATGAGTTGAGAAAATGTTCCTTAAAAAACCTTAAAGAATATTCCTCAAGAAAAAGTGTCTAGAATAAAACTGAATCATGAGCAAAGGGCCAAAGAGAGGCAGGAAAAAGGTAAGAACTGAGGACAGTAAATCAGTTTTCCCAGGTAAAATATATTCTAGCACAGAATTAACATAAAAGGAAGGGAAAAGCCCTGGAAATTCTTGGTGCATAGTTTCCCCTTTTCATTTATAATTCTAGGCTTAAGTGTAGGTGCTAGAACAATGAAAGCTGCCTCAAGAACTCTGGAACTGGATTATATTGATTAGTGTCCTCTCAAAATGCACGTCCTTCCCTGGACATACTAGAGTAGGGTGGCCCTCGATCCAGTGTAACTGGTGTCCTCGAAAGAAAGGAGAAAAGACACAGAGAGAGACCAATAGAGCATCCTGTGGTGACACAGACAAAGAATGGAGTAGAGCGGCTACAAGCCAAAGAACACCAAGCAGTGGCAGCCACAGCCAGAAGCTAGGAAGATCAAGGAAGGATTCTATCCAGAGTCTAAGAGGGGAATGATTTTCTGACACCTTGATTTTGGGTTTCTAGCCTCCCAAAATATGACAGAACAAATGTCTGTTGTTTTAAGCTACTTAGTTTGTAGTAGTTTGCTATAGCAGCCCAAGAAAACTAATATAATTTCAAAGTTTTTAAAACATGATGCTCCCCTTATTACTGAACTCTACTAGTACTTTTTTTTTTAATATATTTTATTGATTTTTTTTACAGAGAGGAAGAGAGAGAGATAGAGAGCTAGAAATGTCGATGAGAGAGAAACATCGACCAGCTGCCTCTTGCACACCCCCTACCAACGTATATGCCCCTGACCGGAATCGAACCTGGGATCTTTCAGTCCGCAGACCGACGCTCTACCACTGAGCCAAACCATTTTCGTCTCTACTAGTACTTTTAATCCAAGACTTCTCTAAATAAACAAGAATGGAAAGGGAGAGACAGCATTGCACACTGGTTAAAAGTGATGATTTTGGAACCAGACAATTTCATTCAAACCGTGACTCTGCTCCTTAGTTACTCTACAACTCATAGGACTAGCTATGCAACTTCCCTTTCAGTAATGTAACTTCTACTATTTAACTACTCAGTTTTAACAGACAGATGTACCATGGTTTTCTCATTTGTAGAGATGCCCACCACACAGAGTTGTTATGAAGATTTAGAAGAGTTACAAAGCTTTTAGAACAGTGTCTGATAAATAATAACCACTATGCAAGTGTCTGTTAAAAATTAAATAAATCAGTGAAGAAAGTAAAAGGCCTGCCCATGTGAGAAAGTATAAACATCCTGGAATACCAAGCTCAGTTTCCTTTGCTTCCCCAAAAGTCTGAAGAATTTTACCAAACATGATTTCTTTGAATTTGACGTAAGGTGCTAAAGCATGCAAACACAATAGTGTAGCTTAGAGGCTACCAAATGTTTTCTGTAAAGGGCAGGATAGTAAGTATGTTTAGGCTTGGTGATCATACAGTCTTTGTTGCAACTATTTAACTGTCCTTTTGCAGAGCAAACACAACCATAGTCAACACATAAATCAGTGTGGTTGGGTTCCAATAAACCGTATTTGTGGAAACTGAAATTAGAATTTCACATAATTTTCACCAGTCATGAAATATCATTCTTCTTTTAATTTTTTTTACCATTTAAAATATAAACATTTTAGTTCACAGGTCATACAAAAACAGGCAGGAGACAGGAATTGGCCCAAGGGTCATGATTTGTTGAACCCTGGTGTAACTTAAAAACACAGGTTTTACAATGCTGAAGTGATAATAACTGTACACACCTGAGTTTTTCTGCCTATAAAATCAAATCAAACACGAAGATACCTATTTTAAGGCTTTCTTAGTCCATAAGTTAATGAGGTAACAAATTATTCTATTTAAAAACTAAGAAGTGGAAACTGCCTGTTGGTTTGTTAAAGTTATTCCCCACTTGTCACCATTTCACAGCATAGTGGTATTATTAAATGTCAATTATATTCTATACACATTGAAGGGCTTTTCATTTTAAGGTTAACAGTCCTAACGGCCCTTTATTATTCTGGTGTGATGTTACATATTCAACATGCTTTGAAACCAAGATACACTTAGCTGAGAATTTACGGAAAGCCTTCTCTTTAATTAGACCATAGTATACTAATTTAACTATTTTTTATAAATGATAGAAAACACACAAGATGAAATTCTATACAAAAACAAATCATGGTCCTCTACTTAATTCTACACTAGATACAGTTTTGCCTTTCAAATAATCACTCAATAGTATAAAAACATAAGAAAAGACCAACTTATCTAATTTACAAAAATGAGTTAGATTTTCCCTAATGACTGCTAAAAAACATTCACCTCTGATTATTCTATTTCCTCTGCCAATTGTGTCAAGTTGGTGCTTACAGGTGGAATTTGAGAAGCAGATGCCTGAGCAGTCCAGCTGAGTAACTCATGAAGTGCCTGCCTACTCACAAACATGTCAGATGTGAACTGTAGAGATTTCCACTTCAGCTGCAAACTCCTTCAATCACTAATCTTTTTTTTAAAAAAAAAACTCAAAAGCTATTGAAGGCATAAGCAAAATAGAAACAAAACAATAGGCAGGCAAGTAAAAAGATGTATTTTTTTTCATTTTATATCATTTTGTCATTAGTATTACAGTATTCCAAAGGCTTTGAAATAATTAATACATACAATATCACAGAAAAACAAGTCATTTATCTATAAAGTGCCATATTACCATGTGATAGTCACTGAGAAATAGCTTCTGCCTTCACAGAATTTATAGCAATGGTTCTCAACCTTTCTAATACCAGGACTCTTTAATATAGTTCCTCATGCTGTGGTGACCCCCAACCATAAAATTATTTTTGTTGCTACTTCATAACTGTAATTTTGCTACTGTTAATGAATCATAATGTAAGTATCTGTGTTTTCCGATGGTCTTGGGCTCTACAGCAGCAGTTCTCAACCTGTGGGTTGAGATACTTGGACTTGAACTCTAAAAACATAAGAGTTTTCGACACCGGGAAGTTTAATATAATGCATAGAATAAAGAAAGGGGAAATTAGATACAAAAAGATCAGTCAGAATCTGGCATATATTTAGGAGGTACAAGACAATGATTGATTGGATATTGGTGGTAAAGGACAGGAAGGAAAGAAGGCTGATGTGAGGTTTCTAACAGGGAACCAGTTTGACAGTGGTGTCATTTAATAAGAAAGGAAACATAAGAGAAAGAATATACAGTCAAATACTGTTAGTGGATTCCATATTTGTAAATTTGCCTACTTGTTAAAATGTATTTGTAACCTCAAAATCCATTCTTGTGGCTCGTTCATGATCCTTTAGGGATGTGTGCAAAGTAGTAAAAAATGTGAGTTGCCTGATGCACACGTTCCTGGCTGAGGCTGAACAAACCAATGCTCTGCCTTCTTATTTTTCTTTACACACTATATACAACTATCCTTTTCTAGAGTCTACCTAGTGCCACATATTTTGTGCTTCTTTTTTTAAAATTGAGATATAATTGCCATATAACATTATATTAGTTTCAGGAGTAGAACATATTTGCCAATGATATAGCTGATAAAGGGTTAATTTTCAAAATATATAACATACTCATACAACTCAACAAAAGGAAGACAAACAATCCAATCAAAATATGGGCAGAGGAACTAAACACACACTTATCCCAAGAGGACATACAAATGGCCAAGAAACATGAAAAAATTCTCAGCATCACTAATCATCAGAGAGATACAAATTAAAACAACAATGAGGTACCACCTCACACCTGTCAGAATGGCTCCAATCAATAAACACAAGTGTTGGTCAGGATGTGGAGAAAAAGGAACCCTAGTACACTGCTGGTGGGAATGCAGACTGGTGCAGCCACGTGGAAAACAGTATGAAGTTTCCTCAAAAAATTAAAAATGGGACTCCCATTTGACCAAGTGACCCTACTTCTAGTAATATATCCTAGGAAACCCAAAACACCATTAAAAAAAAATTAGATGCAACCCTATGTTCATATCAGCACAATTTACAATAGCTTAGATTGGGAAACAGCCTAAGTGCCCATCAGCAGATGAGTGGATAAAAAGCTGTGGTACAGCCGAAACCAGTTTGGCTCAGTGGTAGAGCGTCAGCCTGCGGACTGAAAGGTCCCAGGTTCGATTCCGGTCAAGGGCATGTACCTTGGTTGCGGGCACATCCCCAGTAGGGGGTGTGCAAGAGGCAGCTGGTCGATGTTTCTCTCTCTTCGACGTTTCTAGCTCTCTATCTCTCTCCCTTCCTCTCTGTAAAAAATCAATAAAAAAAATAAAAATAAAAAAAGCTGTGGTACATTTACACAATGGAATACTATGTGGCTATTAAAAAAGAAAAAGAAGAAGAAGAAGAAGGGACTCTTACAATTTACAGCTTAGATGGCCCTGGAGAGTATTATGCTAAGCAAAATAAGCCAGTCAGAGAAAGGTATCACATGATCTCACTCATACGTGGAATCTAATGAACAAAATAGATCCAAAGGCTTAGAAGCATAAAACAGACTGATGAATTTCAGAGGGAAGGCAGGATTGGGATGTGGGAGGGCAGAGATTAGCCTGGGAACTTAATATGCATAGCCC